CAGTATAGTCGAACGGAGGAACTAATTAGATAAACTACTTGGGAAAATATTCGTTCTGATGCACAACAGGCAGGTATTATTAGGGTTTGACAGACTCACATTCACCAACAAGAATAAACCTAACAGGTGTTAATTAGGATGCGTCCATCTACTCCTCTGCCTCCAGTGACTAATTAATAATTATTGATGTTACGTCAAGTCAGGAGAATTGACCAAAGCTACATTCAGTCATTCACCCATTCACGCACACCCATTGTAGCCACAGCTGCCCTGGGGCTCACTGACAGAAGCGAGGCTGCCATACGTTGGCGCCACCGGGCCCTCTGACCCCCATCAGCAGACAATGCGGGTGAAGTGCCTTGCTGAAAGCCGGAGTCGGGGCTTGAACCATCAATCCTCCAATTGCAGGGCAAACTCCTACATCTGACGTCGCTGTCGCTGTCGTAAACCATTGCCTCTGATTTTCTGATTTTGTGCTTAAACTTCATTAAATAACAAACATAAACCTAATATTTTGGCTTTTGTTTTTATCTTCCTTGTTGCTCTTTAGGTTGAAAAGCCTTATTTGCCCTGCATGAGGTCGACATCGCAGCCGTACATCTGCCTGATGAGCTCTCTGACTGAGGAGGACTGAGATACGACCTGAGGAAACTAGACCTTCTGTTGATTTGACTTCATCCGCTGGATGGAAGATATTCATCAAATGTTTACTTTATTTGTGGAGTTTTACTCAGGGATCAAGCCTCCCCCCCCTGCTTGAGGGGATTACTGTACATTCCTGTAAAATAATCCTGGTTGATCAGAACAGAGACTGATCCGGAGTGTCTGATTCATCCTTCCTCTCTGACGGTTTGTTTCTGTGGTTCTTTTTCTCACTTGTTGAAGGTTTCTCTATCTGTGCCATTTAAATCAATGAAGAACGGATCTGTTATGTTTGGTGAGTCTGAATGAAGATCTGAGCCTTTTGTTTGTTAGTAAATGCAAGAACATGAAATAAATACACAGGTTATTTTTCTACATTTTATTAAGTCTCTGAATTCTACATTTATAATGTTTTCGTAAAGTCTGATTCATGTCATAGAGAAGCTAAATGTTTGTTTAAATGGAGCAACCTGAGCCTTAGCTTCAGCTTGACCTCAAATGCTGACAAAAATGAAAAATCCAGACTAACATGGCGGGATCAGGGTGTGTTTGATCAAATCAGGGGTGAAGAAGGTTTCAATGCAGTTTTAGATCAACAGACGGTCAGGCTAAACCCTGGCCTAAACCAGCTTCCACTTTAACACCTGGCCACGCCCATACTCGCCAAAAATAACAAGAACAAAAATATTGCCTTTACATGAGTAATAAAAACATCAGTACTTGAGGAAAATGGAGGGAATGTATGAGCTTTACTAAAGAAATACAATGACTGGAAGGATTTCTTTTTTTCTGATGCAGTTTATTGTTAATGTGAATTTGGTATTATATTTTGAAAATAAATAAATCATTGATACTGACACTGTATAATCCACGTTTTCTGCATTTCCTGTGAAAATATAATTTTTAAATATAAAAAAAGATGAGGGAGCTGAATGCTCTGTTCAGCTGTGGCATCCAGATGGTAACAGAAAGTCGAGTGGAAGGAAAAAAGGTGGTGATTCAGAGCTTCAAAAAGCAGCACAGACTCGGTGGTGGTCCGGGGATTAAGTGTGTGACAAGGTCTGAGTCCAACAAAGCCTTTAATACAGAAATATTCCTTCCTTAGAGATAGAGTGAGGAGCTCGGTCATCCAGGAGAGGCTTAGAGTACAGCCACCTCTCCTCCACATCGACAGATGCTCCGTAGGCGCCTCCCTCAGGAGGAGTTCAAACGCTGTCCCACCAGAGGGAGGCGCAGGAAAAGCCCGGGACCTTTGGCTGCCCTCGGAGGGCCTTTAACCTCCCTCTGGAGAAGCTGAAGGAGGGAAATCTGAGAATCGACAGAGACTGGTGCCCCCGGACGATGGGTAAGGTCAGCACTACAAAAGAATTGGACCACATCCGCCTATCATTAGATTTATTCTGTTTTAAAGGTATACTATGCAACCGGTGTTGATTTTCCAGCGAGGCTCCCCCCACAGGGCGAAAGTAAAAGTGCACTGTCGTAAAAATGCACAGCTGTTCTCCTGGTTTCTCCGTCAAGCCAGGCGCGGTTGTTTTGAGATTAGCAGACAGGCGAACTCAACGAATCACCATGTCTACTGCGGTAAGTGATTATTTCGTTCCAATTTTTGAGTTTGAAAATTTTGCTGTTTTCTCGCTGGTTCCGCCATGATAACTGCACAAATATCGCCACTGCACTAGCAACGAGCATGCCTTTAACTGGGGGCGTGTAGTAGTTCTCGCCGTAAAGCAAGACCGACTCTCGCGATGCTCGAGAGTCTGAGCCTGTGGGTGCGGGCCGAGGGCTCCTGCAATTGTAAGTACGGTATTTCTAACCTGACTCCGCCAGATGGATTTGCTCCGCATATCCATCTGGAAACCTTCCGTTGAAGTAATTTT